GGGGTGTGTCGAACTATATTTCGATAGCTTGTGTAGTTCTAGTCTAGGTGTTCTCCTTTGTGTTATTTTGTACTTGCACTAGGGTTAGGTTTTGCATATATCTTGTTTGTACTTTATGTTTTAGTCAATTTTTACATTCTGACACAGCTATACCGCCGGATTTAGTGGAGCTGATTCGACAGTATCCCGACATCTTCCTCGACGACGTGCCACATGGACTGCCACCCGAACGATCCGAGGACAACAAAATACAGCTGGAGCCTGGCGAGCAGCCGATGGTTCGTACACACTGGCGGTTGACCTAACCGGAACTCGAGGAGCAGCGAAGCCAAATTGATGGCTTGCTTGAGAAGGGGTTTATTCAACCTAGTACATCTCCCTTCACGGCCCCGATAATGTTCACGCCAGAAAAAGATGGCGGGCTTTGCATATGTATCGACTATCACGTGCTCAACCGGGAGACAATCAAATCTCGCTACCCAATCGCACGCACCGACGACCTCCTCGATCAACTTCATGGCACTCGCTACTTCTCAAAAATCAATTCGCGTGGCAGTTACCACAAGATCCGGGTCTTTGCCGACGACTGTCACAAGACCGTGTTTTGCATGCGCTACGGAAACTACGAGTTCACCATGATGCCGTTCGGCCTCACAAATGCGCCTTCGACTTTTCAAGTGACCATGAACTGGGTCTTCCAAGAATTTCTCGACAATTGCGTTATCGTGGACGACATTCTGATCTTTAGCAGGACAAGAGAACAACACCTCCGCGACCTCGACGCAATGTTTAAGCGGCTACAGGAGAACCGCCTCATCACCAACGGCTCTAAGTGCGGGTTTTTTAAGCAGGAGTAGGAGTTTCTGGGGTACGTTATCTCCCGCGACGCCATTAAAATCGACCCGGCAAAAATCAAGACTGTTCAAGAGTGGAAGTCCCTGAATAACATCACGTATCTTTAGAGTTTTTTCGAGGTTTGTAGATTACGTTCGGCGGCTTATCCCGAATATGGCGGGGATAACCTGCTCGCTGACTGACCTACTGCACAAGGACATGATTTTGTGTGGGGGAAGGAAGTTGGGGCGGCTTTTCAGGAGTTACGGAATTTTCTTGTTTCCCCTCCGGTTTTGCACATCGCCGACCCATCAAAGACGTTTGAAGTCATCACCGACGCCTCAGATTTCGCCATCGGAGCTGTGCTTCTCCAAGATTTCGGGAACGGGCTGCAGCCGATCGCCTACGAATCACGCAAGCTGCAGGCGGCCAAGCGCAACTTCCCGATACACGACAAGGAGATGCTCACTATAATACATGCATTCAAACTATTGCGTTGCTACTAGTTGGGCGCCGACGTCATTGTTCGCACGGACCACAAGTCCCTATAGTACCTGCGAGCTCAGCCCAATCTCGATCTGCGACAAGTTCGTTGGCTCGATTACATGGAGAGCCACTTCACCTACCACATCACTTACAAGAAAGAGGTGAATAACATCGCCGATGCCCATACCCGGCCGGCAGTTTAATCCGCTGCAGTACTCATCACCCATTCGAACCTGCTACTTATGGGACTATTCACCCACGGCTACACTACGGACCCATTCATCACGACTTGAAATTACCAACAGGCGACGACGCAGAAGGGGAATTATTACCTAAAGGCCAAAACCGACCGGATTTGGGTTCCCGGTTATCGGCTGCTGCGTAAACTCCTTATCCATGAGGTGCACGATTCCAACCTCTCCGAGCATTTCTGGGTTGATAAAACCCAGAAGTTGATGCACCGTTAATATTATTGGCCTGTCTCTTCTAACGGCGTGTAGTGATATGTGTCCTTATGTAGGGTGTGCAAGGCCATGAAATCAACATGTCAGCGGCCAGCTGGATTGCTGCAACCTCTGGAGCCACCCGTGCGACCGTGGCAACAAGTGACGATGGACTCCGTCACGGGGCTGCCAGCTGGGCCGTTCGTCAACGACTCCGTACTCGTTGTCGTCGGTCGCCAAACAAAAATAGTGCACTTCACACCATATCGTACTATGACCACAGCCGAAAAAACTGCGCGCCTTTTCATCTCCACCGTTGTGCGACTACATGGCATCCCGTTGGCGATCATCAGCGACCGGGACCCGAAGTTCACTTCGAAGTTTTGGAAGGAGACGTGGGCACAATACGGCACAAAGCTACAGTTCTCGTCAGGCTACCACCCGCAAACCAACGGCCAGACCGAGCAGACCAATCAGACGATGGAGCAGCTGATCATGACAAACAGCCCCAATCCCGCTCGCAGGGAATATTCGCTCGCCATGTTGGACTTCGCGTTCAACAACGCCCCGTCCAGCACGACTAATCACTCCCTGTTTTTCCTGGATTACGGGATGGACCCGGTGGCGCCAGCAAAGACTACACTCGACAACCCGGTCCCACGATCACAAACTTTTGTGACGAAGCTTCAGGAGATCCGCATAAAGGCAGCCGGCACAACTCGCAAGGCTAATATCACAGCCCGAAAATACGCCGATCTCCTGCGACGGAAAATCATATTGACAGTTGGGTAACTAGTGCTGCTCAACATGGAAAAACTGCGACTACCCGGCTCGTCAAAACTACAACCACAATTTTGTGGGCCCTTCAAAATCATCCAGATGGTGACACCTGTCACCGCAAAGCTGGTGGTACCCGACGACTGGTGTATACATGATCCTTCCATGTCAGCCTCCTTCGCAAGTTCGTGCTTGCCACAATAGACATCGCGCACCAGAACGCCGTCCCAACAGCTCAACCTGACACTCGACCAGTCCAAGATTTTGGAGCATCGTGTTTGGCTCGACGCTTTTGGACGCCACGTGGACTTCTTTGTCCGTTAGACTGAGTGCACTAGTGAAGACGACACTTGGGTGCCGTCCGCCTTGCTTGAAGGGTTACTGTTCGATCGCCAAACCTGCACCCAACCTCGTTTTCCCGAGGTTCCCTCCTACTTAGGGTAGTCACTATATTAGCGCATGCCTTCATTGTATTGTCACTTCATTGAGTCACATCCTTGTTATTCGTTATTCCGCGCACCCCCTTTTACAACTCATAAGAGGTAGGAGGTTTATGTTAGAATATATTATTCTTATATAATTGCATGTATAGCTAGTAATGGCATACCCCCCTTTGCCACCTTTCCTATATCTTGTACCTCTCTCCATATTGCAAACCCCTTCTTTGGCCAAACCTCTCGCTTCTCCCGTCCGCGCGTGCATTTCGCCCTTCCTGTCGTCCGCGTCCCCCCCCCCCCCTCGTCGCCCCGCGCCGTTTCGTCGCCCCGCGCCCCCCCCGTCGCCCCGCGATCTGCCAGTGCCAGCGCGGACGCCAACGACGAGCGCCAGCGCTAGGGCCGATCGCGAGCGCCAGCGCCATACGCCAACGCGAGCACATGCGACAGCAGCTAGCGCCAGCGCCAACACCCGCGTCAGCGCGAATGACGGCGCCAACGCCGGCAGCAGCTAATGCGCCCCCCTCCCCCACCCCGCCCTCCCTTCCGCGGCTTCCGTTTTTTTTGGGGGGGGGAGGGGGAGATGTGGGGGGGGGCGGGTGTGAGCAGCCTGCAGTGTCAGAGGTCCACTAGTGATCCCCAATTGATCCTAGGGAAGGGTTACAGGCTCGTTGTCCTGGGGGGTTATGGGCGCACTGACCCGCTACTTAACAAGCCCTTTTATCCCAATGGTCTAGTGGTTGGGATTCTGACATGGTATCAGAGCGAAGGTCTCGGGTTCGAATCCCAGTGTGTGCAATTCGGGCGTCCTAGTGCGGGGGGGTGTCAGAGGTCCACTGGGGATCCTCGATTGATCCTAGGGAAGAGTTACAGGCTCGTTGTCCTGGGGGGTTATGAGCGCACTGACCCGCTACTTAACAAGCCCTTTTATTCCAATGGTGGTTGGGATTCTGACATGCAGCTCGTCCCTCCCCTCCCTCTTCCTGACTTCCTGCAGCACTTGTTGCTATAGGGGGGGGGGAGCAGAAGGTTAAGGGGGGAAGAGAGAGAGGTTAAGGGGGTGGAGAGAAAGAGAGAGAGGGAGATCACGCCGTTTCATATCGTTTCTCGTTCAGTTTCTATCCGTCATCTTTGGGTGTTGTCGCCCCTCGTCGCGCTCACCGGGCATCCATTGTGGGGGTTAAACCGCAGACGGGTAGTACCCGCCGGGTATCCTACCGAAGGGCCCAGCTGCTGCACGGTGATTGATGCGCTCCCTACACTAGCTAGTCTGCATGCAATTAAGGGGGGATGTTAGAATATATATTATTCTTATATAATTGCGTATATAGATAATAGTGTAGGGCCTTGGTGGTATACCCCCCTTTGCCACCTTTCCTATACCGTATCTTATACCTCTCTCCATATTGCAAACCCCTTCTTTGGCCAAACCTCTCCTAAGTTCTAAGCCTAACTACCTATCTTGACAGTTTATTACACGTTTGATGTTAATAAAATCCTTCACACAAGAAAAATATAGCAAATGCATCTAAGGTAGCACACAAGAAAGCTAACAATCTGTCCTAAGGAACAAAATTCACACTGTATTGGACTATAGCCAACCTAATGTAATTTTATTCTTGCACACACACAAAATCACTTCAACCAGCCATCCGCCATTTATTCCTGGCCTCCAAGCAACCGCATGCAGTTGCTTGCACCTCTGCTCCATCAGCCCCTGCCGGTTTTGCCGTTCCTCGTAGCGCTGCCAGCAAGCACCTCGTTGCCCCATGTCCATCGAACTAGGGCCGCTCCTTATTCGCTTGTTGTGAACCAGCCCCTACGTGGTGAGCACAATCAGCTCGCTGAGTTGCAAAGAGAAGGAAGATGGAATGGGTTGAACAACAAACAAAGAGAATGTGGATGGTGAAGCGGTGATCTGTTGTAACGTTGCGTGGAGAATAGGGTTATATAAAAGCGCACTGGCAGTATACATGCATGTGGGAGAAGGGAAGATACAAAAGAGAGCATATTCTGTCTCTCTTACATGTGCACTTATTCTTGTTCTTGTTCATTTTGTACCCTGCCTTGCACTGGCACTGCGCCTTTCCTCCCACCATCTTGCACTGGGCGTTATCAGGGCAGGCAGATGGGCATAAGGCTGCCACATGAAAGGGGACGGGAGGAAGAGGGTGAGTGGGCACGAAAGGGAGAGCATACAGTGAGTATTGGGAGATAGGGGAAAGGCTAGTAAGAATATGGATTAGTCGAGCTGCAGCAACTATCAAGGGAAAGAAAGGAGAGTATGCATTGTGTCTCTCCCTTACGTGTGCACTTGTTCTTGCTCCAGTCCATCTTGAACCCCTGCTTGCACTGGCACTGCGGCGTTCCTTGCACCATCTTGCACTGGGCATTATCGGGGCAGCCAGCCGGACATTTGGCTGCCACATGAAAAAGGGGGGTGTTTTGGAGATGCGAGGAATGGAGGATGAGCGAGTCTGTCAGGGAAAGAATATTTGAGAGCAGACAGTTGGAATAGGATCAAGGCAAAAAAGAGAGCATATGCTGGCTTTCTCCCTTACGTTTGCACTTGTTGGTGCTCTTGTCCATTTTGAACCCCTGATTGCATTGGCACTGCGCCGTTCCTTGCACCATCTTGCACTGGGCATTATCAGGGCAGCCAGCCAGACATTTGGCTGCCACATGAAAAAGGGGGGTGTGCGGAGGCGCGAGGAATGGAGGATGAGCAGGGTGGGCAGGCAAGGCATACATGAGAGGCGACAATTGGAATGGGATTCAGAGATTGTGAAAGAGGGCGACGAGAAAAGGAACAGAAAGGAAAGCATGATTTCTTTCTCTCCCTTACGTGTGCACTTGTTCTTGCTCCAGTCCATCTTGAACCCCTGCTTGCACTGGCACTGCGGCGTTCCTTGCACCATCTTGCACTGGGCATTATCGGGGCAGCCGGGCGTACATATGCCTGCCACATTAAATCCTGGGGTGTGCGGGAGATGCAAGGAATAGAGGATGAGCGGGGTTGACAGGGAAGGCATACATGAGCAACCGGTTGGAATAGGAGCAAGGAAGAAAGGAGAGCATACGCTGTCATTTTCCCTTACGTGTGCACTTGTTCTTGCTCCAGTCCATCTTGAACCCCTGCTTGCACTGGCACTGCGCCCTTCCTTGCACCATCTTGCACTGGGCATTATCGGGGCAGCCGGCCGGACATTTGGCTGCCACATGAAAATTGGGTGTGTGCGGAAGGTGCGAGGAATAGAGGATGAGCGGGGTGGACAGGGAAGGCATACATGCGAGTAGACGGTTGGAATGGGAGTCAGAGATCTTGAGAGAGGGCGACAAGCAAAAGATCATTCCAGCTGCGGCAGCTTTCAAGAGAGAGGGACAAAGGAAAACATACGCTGGTTCTCTCCCTGACGTGTGCACTTGTTCTTGATCCAGTCCATTTTGAACCCCTGCTTGCACTGGCACTGCGGCGTTCCTTGCACCATCTTGCACTGGGCATTATCAGGGCAGGCAGATGAACATGCGGCTGTCACATGCAAAGGGAGTGGGTGGGGGAAGGGGGGTTGTGAGAGACAGAGGAGTGGAGGATGAGCGGGGTCGACAGGGAGGGCATACATGAGAGACGACGATTGAGAGGCACAGAGTTTGTGAGAGAGAGGAACAAGCATAGGGACCACTCAAGCTGCACCAAAATATTAGGGAGCTGGAAAGAAAGGGGTGCATGTGTTGTCTCTCTCCCTTACGTGTGCACTTGTTCTTGCTCCAGTCCATTTTGAACCCCTGCTTGCACTGGCACTGCGGCGTTCCTTGCACCATCTTGCACTGGGCATTAGCAGGGCAGGCAGATGAACATGCGGCTGCCACATGAAACGTTGGGGGGATGCAGGAGACGGGAGGAAGTAAGAATGAGCTGTGTCGACAGCGAGGCATGCATGAAAGAGGACCATGCGTTGTCTCTCTCGCATACCTTTGCACTGCCTCTTGCTCTTGTCCATCTTGTAACCCGCCTTGCACTGGCACTGCGCCTTTTCTCCCACCACCGAGCACTGGGCATTAGCAGGGCAGGCCGGCTTGCACATGGCTGGCGTGGGTGGGAGGGGGAGGGAGTGAGGGAGAGGGGAAACAGCATGAGACTGAGTGGTTGGAAGGAGGAAGGACAAGTGGTTACCACATAACACCCAATCACTCATCAGATCCTTTTGACTTTATCTAACGGCTGGACTGTTTCTAAATCTAATGAACTTTTTACCTCTTCACTTGTTCACTTCCACACTTCTTCACCCCTTCGATTCTTCGCCTCACGGCCTTCGATTCTTCGCCTCACGGCCTTCGATTCTACACCTCACGGCCTTTGAAACAAAGCCCTTGGTGACCTCACCAGTGCAGAGGCCGTTCGTCTTGGTGTAGCCGTTGTTGCACTGGCACATCCCCTGCCCGTTCTTCACAACGCACATTGAGTTCATTTCGCATTTCAGTGTGCCCGTCTTGCAGGGGTTGTTAGCTGGCAAGGGTAGAAGAGGGAAGCAGGTAGGGAAGGATATAGGGAGGCATCAGCCTGCCGGGGCAACGAAGAGGCAGTTCTCTTCTAATCATATGCAAGAGAGGCGGGTGGGCACACAAGAGAACTCTTGCGCAGGGCCTCCAGGGGCTGGATCTCAAGGGAAACGTGCACAAGATTTACCAGGATTGAAGGTCTTATCGCTGCAGATCTTCTGAGCCCCATTGAACACGAAGCCCCAGGGGCACTGGCACTGGGGCGTGCCGTCCTTCACAATGCACCCAGCAGCTCCGCAGTCCTTGTGACACGTGGCTGTTGTGGGCACCCAGAACGGAGGGACCAACAATAACGCATTGTAAGGATTTTTGGCAAACAGAGGTGAGGTGAGGTGAGGGTGTGTTAAATATTTTTATAGGAATAACCAGAAGTGGTATTAACAGAGTTGTGCGCACGAGTTCCAAGAAAGTTTCTCGAACTTAAATACATGTTCTCGCACTTACTGATCTCACAGCCAACTGATCCCGGCAAATCCATCGCTTTTACAGTCCTGAGAGGGGGAAAGGTATTCACGAAGAGCATAGATGAGGACAAATGTGATGCTTCCGCACCATTCACACTAGGAAGTGGGAAACGAATTCTGGTGATTGGATTGCTTATTCTTCCCTCCTTTGCGCTAGAACCACAACAGGCAAAGCAACACATGACGTGGCGTGCAACACGGTCACACACCTGTCTGTGTTGTGGAAGGAATCACCATCCTTTGCAGGACGCGGGATGGTGAGACCTGGCCTGTCCGTGCAGCCAGGGTTGTTGTAAAACGAGACGCTTTTGCACATGCCAATGCCGGCCCCTTGAAGACCGTAGGAGCTCCACTGGATGCTGATCTTGGTGTCGCCGCGCAGGCCGGAGCTGGAGGTGAGGTCGGAGCACACGGTGGTGCCGCTGGCTTGCGCTGCCGGCACGTTGGTGGTGAACTTGACGTTCTCCTGGACGCCATTCGCCTGCAGCTGCACTGTCGTCTGGAGGAAGGGGCCTGATGCCCACATCGTGGCCGTTGAGGGTCGTGTGGTGATGATGGGGGTTGGAAGACATCGAGTTGGTGGTGGCACAGTGGAAGGGCGAGGGAGAGCGCAGACAGGGGCGGAGGTGCAGGAAATGAGGAGAAGAAAAGAGCAAGTCCGAGTTCTGGTGTAACGCTGCCAGCTGAAATGTGTTTCTTATTTTGAAATGCAAATCCTTCGGTTAACAAATGCAGCACTCACGAGTGCAGTGCTCACCAGTGCAGCACTCACCAAAGCACGACTTGTCGGATTCGTAGAATTTTAGACCATTCGAGCACAGACACTCGAGAATGCCATTGCCCGACACTTGGCAGATACCACCCTTGAGGCCGCAATCCATGCTCGCACACGGGTCTGCAGAGAAGATCACGGGTTGTTGCAAGGTGAAGAAAGAGAGAGAGGGAGTTGAAAGAGGGGATTCATCTTATGTGCAGTCGCTCCACCACTCACTTGCCAGCACTTGCTGCGGGGACGGGAAATGTGGAGATGAGTTTGAATATGCTCAGACACATGACTGATGGCTGGACTGCCATGGTTTGACGCCGTATTGAAGGTGAGTACGGAAAACATGCTCGCACACGAGACGATCATGGGTTTTTGCAAGGTGAAGAAAGAAAGCGGGGTTTCATCTCTATGTGCAGTCGCCGGCGCTCCACCACTCACTTGCCGACACTCCACCACTCACTTGCCAGCACTCGCTGAAGGGACGGAAAATGTGGAGAATTGTTTGGAAATGCTCAGACACATGACTGATGAGCACTGGACTGCCGTGGTGTGACGCCGTATTGAAGGTGAGTACGGAAAATGGGTCACCAGAGCGGAGATTTCGCTAATGACGTCACACCCACCCACACTCCGGCCCTCGCCCACATCAAAGCACTTACCCACAGCACCACTGCATGTATTGTCCGCATTGTTGAAGGTGGAACCGTCCAAGCACTCGCATTCACCAGCCGCATTGCACGTAGCCTCGGTCCCACACTTGCCGCCACACGCGTCTGCATAGGAAGTCATAGGTGGTTTCAAGGTAGAGTAGCGAACAGGGGTGAGCAGAGATTTCGCTAATGACTTAACTCACCCACACTCCGGCCCTCGCCCACATCCCAGTACTTACCCACAGCACCACTGCATGTATTGTCCGCGTTGTTGAAAGTGGAACCGTCCAAGCACTCGCATTCACCAGCCGCATTGCACGTAGCCTCGGTCCCACACTTGCCGCCACACGCGTCTGCATAGGAAGTCATGGTTGGTTTCAAGGTAGAGTAGGGAATAGGGGTGAGCAGAGATTTCGCTAATGACATCACACCCACCCACACTCCGGCCCTCACCCACATCCCAGCACTTACCCACAGCACCACTGCATGTATTGTCCGCATTGTTAAAGGTGGAACCGTCCAAGAACTCGCATTCACCAGCCACATTGCACGTAGCCTCGGTCCCACACTTGCCGCCACACGCGTCTGCATAGGAAGTTATGGGTGGTTTCAAGGTAGAGTAGGGAATAGGGGTGAGCAAAGATTTCGCTAATGACTTTACCCACCCACACTCCGGCCCTTGCCCACATCCCAGTACTCACCCACAGCACCACTGCATGTATTGTCCGCATTGTTGAAGGTGGAACCGTCCAAGCACTCGCATTCACCAGCCGCATTGCATGTAGCCTCGGTCCCACACTTGCCGCCACACGCGTCTGCATAGGAAGTCATGGGTGGTTTCAAGGTAGAATAGAGAATAGGGGTGAGCAGAGATTTCGCTAATGACGTCACACCCGCCCACACTCCCGGCCCTCGCCCACATCCCAGCACTTACCCACAGCACCACTGCATGTATTGTCCACATTGTTAAAGGTGGAACCGTCCAAGCACTCGCATTCACCAGCCGCATTGCACGTAGCCTCGGTCCCACACTTGCCGCCACACGCGTCTGCATAGGAAGTCATGGGTGGTTTCAAGGTAGAGTAGGGAACAGGGGTGAGCAGAGATTTCGCTAATGACTTTACCCACCCACACTCCGGCCCTCGCCCACATCCCAGCACTTACCCACAGCACCACTGCATGTATTGTCCGCATTGTTAAACGTGGAACCGTCCAAGCACTCGCATTCACCAGCCGCATTGCACGTAGCCTCGGTCCCACACTTGCCGCCACACGCGTCTGCATAGGAAGTCATGGGTGGTTTCAAGGTACAGTAGGGAAAACGGACCCATTTACAAGAGTAGAGATTTCGCTAATGACGTCACACCCACCCACACTCCGGCCCTCGCCCACATCCCAGCACTTACCCACAGCACCACTGCATGTATTGTCCGCATTGTTAAAGGTGGAACCGTCCAAGCACTCGCATTCACCAGCCGCATTGCACGTAGCCTCGGTCCCACACTTGCCGCCACACGCGTCTGCATAGGAAGTCATGGGTGGTTTCAAGGTACAGTAGGGAAAACGGACCCATTTACAAGAGTAGAGATTTCGCTAATGACGTCACACCCACCCACACTCCGGCCCTCGGCCACATCCCAGCACTTACCCACAGCACCGCTGCATGTATTGTCCGCATTGTTAAAGGTGGAACCGTCCAAGCACTCGCATTCACCAGCCGCATTGCACGTAGCCTCGGTCCCACACTTGCCGCCACACGCGTCTGCAAAGGAAGTCATGGGTGGTTTCAAGGTAGAGTAGGGAAAACGGACCCGTTTACAAGAGTAGAGATTTCGCTAATGACGTCACACCCACCCACACTCTGGCCGTCGCCAGCATCCCATCGCTCACCCACATAGGCATCCGTCAAGGACAAGGGGACCTAGAACGAGAACATTTCCAAGCACATTTCAGGAGGCTGGGCGTGAGAAACAAGAGGTGGAATCGAGAAAGGGGTGAGAAGATGTGGGTGAGAAGCGAGAGGGTGCGATGCAAGCGGATGAATCAAAAGAGGAGGGATGCAAGAGTGAGAAGCAGTGGTGCCGTGCACCTGCCAGGTGTGCGGCGGGCCGACTCACCATCTTGAGCGTTGGCGTGCGTCGCGAGGAAGCTCATTGCAACGAGACCCGCTACGAAGGCGGCGAGGCCAAGTTGAAGGGCAGACCGCCTTTGCCCGCGGGGCTTCATGACGACAGGAGAGCGCCGCCCGTAGGAAGGCTTCATGGCGACAGCGTAGTCAGCGATCACGGCGGCGCGATGATGGTTGGCTTCAGCTATTCTTGCTCCCGCGAATGATCCCGTGAGGTCACGTCGTTGGTGGTTGCGAGGAGGTGACTCAAAATGGGACTCCGAGTCGGAGGTGGGACTCAGAAGGGAGGAGAGGAAGGCACACGATGAGTGATCAGCGGTGAGAACTTGAATGTGAATGGGGACTCCGACTCGGGTCTCGATTTATACATGTAGACTGAGTGGGTGCACAGACTGATGTATTGTTAGTACCAATAATTCAGTCAGCGCAATACCGCGCTCCTGGCCCCGGGAGGGGGGAGGGGGGGAAGGGGAAAAGAGAGAGGGGGGGATTGCCGCTGCGCCGAGGCCTGGGAACGTTGCATTAGGACTAGGCGATTGTGTATTATCTACGTAGATCACCGGAGGCCCCAGCGCGGGGCTAGTCAAACGCGTCATTTTAATTAAACGAGGCGGAATTCAACTCTTCGACGGGCGCAAGCTAGTAGTAACAGTAGCTCGCTCGCGGCGCAACATCATCAGCGGGACCTGCGCGAGTGTATTATATGATCTTGCTCGACATTCTGGGACTTGAATCGAGTTCAATTATATGAGTCAGTAAGGCCACAAAGGTATTCCAGTTCGAGCTCGCGCACACCACGTTCCGATAATGGCGGGGCTCCCGCGAGTGATGATGTTGGATGACTGATGCAATATCCGCATGCTGGTTTACGGGCGGGAGTCATTGAAGGCTGACTCAGCACGGATGTATTGCGATGTGCCTCTACGAACGTTTTGTTTTTTTTTTCCTGTGAGACGCTGAGGCTTGCGACGCTTTCATTGATGTCGGTGTTCGACATCAATGGAATTTCCCGTCCGTCGGTAGGACTAAAGCCGTCGCAGCTGGAATCCGTCGCTCGCAAGACTATCGTCACACAGCCAGTTTTCCGTCCACGCTGAACACTCATCGTAACTCGTCGCGAATGTATCGGCGCCCAGGCGAATCGAGATGTGACTGTAAAATTTCTGACTGGGATAGGATTCTCTGTGCTGGGATAGAAGCGCATATATTGTTAGCGGGTCATTGAGGTCGCTCACATCCCAGTCAGCCAAAGTTCAACATACTGCATTATCGCATCCGTCGTACAGTAACCATCATGCCGACTGTCAGAGAAAGTTCTGTCGATTTTTTTTTTTTTTTTTTTGTTGAATGTTATTACACTATAAAAGCGCATACATCCTCAGTCGTAACTGATTTTCTGGAGAGGACCTACCCTGGTACCAACATGTTAGTGCCACTACCGGGGTCACCCCTCCATGAGGCTTCTACGGGGGCTGCCTGATCGTTCTGGGATTGCGCCAGATGGAGAGAAACCCATCGCTCCACGTGGCCTTTTCACCTGGTTCACTGAGTAGAGCCACCGCCGCTCTCTCGTCACCCTTCAGACCTCGCCACGGGTCCTTCCCCTGCTTCGCTGTACCTGACCTGCGTGCTCTCCGAGTCAGCTCCGTGCGATACACCTGAGCATGCAGCGCGAAATCTCTGATTGCCCCTCTTGCCACCTTCTTCCGCTGAAAAACTTCCCCCCTCCAGACCATGCCACATCTCGCCAGCCAGATGTGGCGGAATGTTGTGGCCACTAAGGTTGACGCAGGAAACCCTGACTTCGTGCCCCCCTCATAAAAAAGCAGCGCACCGAGCGAGTTCGGGTTGCCCGCTTGGCCCAACAACTGCAAAGATCTCTGCAGCGCGCCGATCACCGGTTGGACCAGCGGGCAACTGAACATGCAATGTTCTAGGGTTTCAGGCTCCCCGCAATGTGAACAGCGCGCCCTTTCCCCCAAGAATTTCAGCCTGCCGCCCACCTGTAGGTTCAGATTGTGCATTCTCAGCAGCACATCCCTTGCCCTGATGGGTGTCACCAACGAGTCCCTCTTGCTTTCCACCTTTCTCCAGTCTATTTTCCTCCCCCACGCTGCTTCCCACTCATTCCTCTTCCAAGACGTCGTCACCGGCCCCGCCAGCACCCGCCTAATTACTTTAATCTTCGCCGGCGCCCCGTCATCATCTAGCAACTTAGTCTGCATGAGCCGTGTCGCCGGGGCCCCCATCGCTCCCAGCACCCTGCCGCCCCTGGTGGCTACCGGTTCCACATGCTTTGGCCTGAAAGTCGCCCCGACCGGTGTCTCCCATTCTTCCAGCTTCCCGTCCTTCGTTACCTCCAGGCTCGTTACTGCTACCATCTCCTCCGCCACCCCCTTTACCTTCCAGTAAAGGTACTCCTGTGTCCGTGGTAAGAAAGTTCTGACAACTGTCGCCACTGCCACCAACTTTTCCGCCGTTTTCCCCGCTGCAATCACTTCCTTCCATTCTTTTGCCGTCGCTGCAAGCGCCATCAACGCCCACCTGGCCGCTGCCACGCCCCCCAGCTCCGTCCTCACTGTCTCCTTGCTCTTCACCGTGCACACCCCTACCATGTCATCAGATATTAGCGCGCCGAGTTTCGCTCTGTGTATCCCTTCCGTCCCTTGTTGACTGCCGTACGGACTCTTCCCCCTGTACATAATCCTGCGGTTGAAACACAGCTGCTCCTGCTCCACCTCCCAGCCGCTCGCCGGTTCTGGCAGCTGCGCATATGGGGTCTCCCAGAAAGCCTCCACTGCCGCCTTCCAGCGCCGGCTGCCCCCCGGCCAGTGCTTCCCTGCTGACGGGTCTGCATACAGTGTCGCCTCCCCCTGCGGCAACGCTGCCGCTTTCACCGCTAGCCACTTTTTCGTCGGGTCTTTCTCCGCCAGCATCTTTGCCACCATCCTGACCGCCATGCTGTCTATTCTCGCCTTGGGGTCTACCAGCCCCAAACCTCCTTCCTTCTTTGGCAGCCGCGCCAATTCCCCGCTCCACAGAACGAAGATTCTCTCCACCGTGGCTTGACCCTTCGAGACGTAGTTGTCACACGTCTTTTGGATCCGCTTCCATAATTCCTCCGGCGGTGGGTATATTTGCGCTTGGAAAATGAAGATCGGCATAATATACGCGTTAATGACCGTTACCCTTGCCGCTGTGAGGAGGTGCTGACACTCCCACTTTGCCAGCTCCCCTTTTCCCCGCTCCCATGCCTTCTCCCAGGACGGGCTCGCATCCCCTTCCGGCGTTATCCAGATGCCTAGCAGGCGCTCCGGCACCCCGGCTTCCGCCCACTTAAAAGGTACCCCTTCTGCCGTCTGTTTCCCTTTGTTCCTTCCCAGCGGCATAACCACTGACTTCTCCGTGTTCGTCCGCAGGCCTGACAACCGCCCAAACCGCTCCAGAACCTCTGACGCCGCCTTGAGCTGCTCGACCCCATCCAGGATGAGTGTTGTGTCGTCCGCATATCCCACATATGCCAACTCCGTTCCTCCCTCCGGTTTTACCCCCAAACCCTTCTTCTTGATTTCCAGGCACAAAGGCTCCAGCGCGCATAAGAAGAGGTACGGCGCCAGCGGGCAGCCCTGCCGCACCCCCCTCTGCATCTCCACCTTTTCGCCGAGCCAACCATTAATCGCCAACGTCGTCCCAGAGCCGCGATGCAACCCTTCGGTCCACTTAATAAAAACCTCCGGTATTCCCAATTTCCGCATTGTCTCAAAAAGGTACGGCCTCGCCACCGTATCATATGCCTTCTGGAAGTCGACCATGAGGAGAAACCAATCCTCCCCCCCATTGTCTGCCGCCTCCACCGCGTCTACTACCACCGACACCGCGTCCGCCAAGCTTCTTCCCGGGATGAAACCGTGCTGCTCCTCCGACACCACCAGGTGAAGGACACGTTTAATCCTGTTCGCCATCAACTTTGCCAACACCTTATACAGCGTGCTGAGCAGAGTGATGGGCCTGTAGTTGCCCAACTGATCCGTCGGTCCTTTGTGCAGCAGAACCGTGACCGCCGTAGTGATCGATTCGTCCAGGACCCCCGTCCTTTCAAAACTTTTTGCGAACTCCACCAGCGGCCCCCCCAGCAGATCCCCGTGCATCCTGAACACCTCCGGTGGCAGTCCGTCTTTGCCCGGCGACTTGCCCCTCGGCAAACCCTCCAGTGCCTCCTTCACCTCTTCTTCCGTCCACGGGGCGCCCAGCTTCGCCGCCTCGTCCTCAGGTAGCCTTCTGAGCACTTCAATGCTCCTCTCCTCTTGCAGGCTCTGACCGTCCTGGCTTCTGAAAGCGTCCCGGAAGTGCTCCGAAGCCGCTTCCAGCACCTCCTGCGAGCCGTGAAAGCGCTTCCCCTTGAACTCAACCTCCTTAATGAGTGTCTTGTCCTTCCTTATTTTAAATTTGGCAGAGAGGTATGGCGACGGGACCTCCCCGTGTAGCTCCAGATCCAGCCCGGCCAAAACCTGCAGTCTCTCCCTCTCGCTTTCCTGATAACCCTCCAGCTGCGCCTCCTTCGCCAGCAACCTCTCCTTCATGCCGGCATCCGTTGGGCCCGCCATGACCAGGTGGTTCAGCTTCGTGACCTCAGC